AGCCTACGCTGGCAAGTCTCACCCGGGGTGAGAGGTAGAGTTTTTCTATTCTCACCCCGGATGAGAATAGCCACTTCCAATATGAAATGGCCACCTCTATTCTCACCCTGGGTGAGAATAGTGCAGGCGAGTCTTTTGGCTATTCTCACCCGGTGTGTGTTCACCGTTATAGCCTAGGCCTAGGCCAACCAGTGTAGCGTTCACCCTGAACCACAGAATTCTACACTGATAACAAAATTGTAGAATTCTGTGACGTGAACAAACGTTCCATTAACACTGTTAGCCTAAAAGCGTGCAATTTAGTCTGTGGGCAGTGGAGAGAGAGAGAGGAGTAGCGCGAGAACTTCCGGACAAAACAAAATGGCGACCCGCGTAGTTCGGCTCGATTCGAAAAGTATAGCCAGAGCATCTTTGTAGATGGTCAAATTAGTTTACTTTTGTGCTATAACTATAACGTAATTTTTTCTTGGCTTTTATCAATTTGATCATCCACACCGATAGACAGTATTCTGAAATAAGGAAAAACAGGTCTTGTTTCACACCGGGTGAGAATAGCCAACGCTGTCAAGTCTCACCCGGGGTGAGAGGTCATCGTATTTCTATTCTCACCCCGGGTGAGGATAGCCACTTCCATATTAAATATCTTGAACGAATGTGATTTTGCCTTTGAAAAGGTGGGATACCAGCGTGTTACTAATGAGGTCTAAAACTAAAATCAACTAGATCTAGAATCTAGATTAGTAAGTAACTCTTTAATCATCATATATATATATATATGGCCTAATGATTGCTCTTGTCTTGCAGGCTCAGTAACTGCCTAAGCTGTATGCAATGGTCTTATTTATTGTAATTCTGGCTTAAATGACGGAAATAGTGAAAAGTTTGTTCATATAAAATGACACAAATTTATGAAAAATTAAAGCGGAGTGTCTATGTACACGGTAACCAGGCACCTAGCCTCAGTGTCTATGTGCACGGTAACTGGCAACCGGGCATGTAGTCTCAGCATCACGTACACGGTAACCGGATAGTTCAGAACTCCAAGTTCAGTTTTTGTCATCCGTTGTTGCCTTCAACCCCACCCCTCCCCGGACTGTACCTTTTAAAAATATCAATTATAATCCCCCCTTTCTCCAGAGCCCTATAGGTCTCTTTCGCAGCGCACAGACTTTGAATGAACTTTGGTGACCCCAACCGGTACTCATTATGTGACACGAACTCACAGTTTCACTGACTGGTCACGATGGCGAAACTGTGTACCTAGACTTTCATAGATAATGAGACTAGGTGCCCGATTACCGTACGTAGATACTGAGACTACGTGCCTGGTTACCATGTACGTAGACACTCCGTAATTAAAGTTCTTTTCTTCAGCTAGGTTGAGGTTATATTTTGAGACCTTCCAAAAATACATAGAATTGACAGGATATAAATTTTTTAATTAATTAAAAAAAAAACTTTTCTGTGTCATTCAGGAACGAAAAATAAGTGACCAAAAACTATCAATTAGCCAAGTGATTAATTAAAAGACCACAACAATTATTTTTCAATGCAAACTGGTCATCGGGTATGTTATGAATAAGTTAACAGGTTCGTTCATAATCATTATGACACACTATTATCATGTTCATAACTATTGTGACAAATTTTACTTTGGGCTGAAATAATTAACTTTATTTTGTGATTCACATAAAATGTTTTTCATTTGTGAGACTCTCCTCAAAATATGCATTTTATGTTGGAAGAATTACGAAGTTTATCCACTGAAGAACCCTCAGAAATACATTTGATGGTTTGTTCATAACAATATACATGGCAGACTTCAGTTTTCTAAATATTTATACATTTATCTGCCATTCACTTAAAAATACTTCTTTTAAATGAAACTCTCTACATCTTATGTATCTGTGTATGTTTTTAAAGTTTACGCTCTGAAAAGCCCTCAAAATGTGTTAAATGGACAAGAAAAGTAGTTTGCTCTTAACAGTTCAATTACTAAAAGTGAAATACGGATTAAAATACACACCCATCCATACACTTATTTATGGTAAAAATTAAAAACCCAGAATGTAAGCAAGGTCTGATACTTCCTTTAGTTGGGTTAAAATTAAACCCAAAACAACTGTAAATTACATGGAATGAGGTTTTGTTCATATAACTATATATGACAAACTGTTTCGTTCGTAACTATTTTGACAAATTTTACTTCGGGTCCAAAAACTTAAATTATCGTTGTCTTTTACATAAAATGGTTTTCATTTATGAGACTCTCCTCAAAATATGCTTTATATGTGTGAAGAATTTAAAGTTAATACCCGGAAAAAAACTCAGAAGACATTCAATGGTTCGTTCATAACAATATGACAAATTTCAGTTTTGGCCTAAAAATTATGTTTTGTTCTTTTATTCACTTAAAAACACTTTTATTATAATTAAATGAACCTCTCCACATAATATGTATATCTGTGTACATGCTTTTAAAGTTTATTGACACTGAAAAGCCCCCAAAATATATTAAATGGACAAGAAGTAGTTTGTTCATAACAATTACTACAAAAGTAAAATACTGATTAAAATACACACCCATACACTTATGATAAAAATTAAAATATCAGAATGTAAGTAAGGTCTAGTACATACTTTAGTTGTGTTAAAATTTAAAATACATCACAAGACAACTGTAAATTACATGGTAGGTTTCGTTCATAACCACATTAAATAAATGACACTGTCACGTTCATACATTGTGACAATCCATTATGACGAGCATATTTTTGCTTCTTCTTCGCATCTCTTTTGAGTCGTCATCACACTGTTCTTCCATGCTTATGGCACCATGTAAAAGGATGTTGTGAAACAGTGGGAAGTCCCACTCATAATATTTTGTGTAAATATCATAAAGTGTTTGTTCATAATATTATTTTATGACAAACCTGGATTATCTCAATTTCAGTCATATTTAAGCAAAACCATGGGATGAAGCCGAAAATTTTCCTTCTGATTGATCAATGTCAAACCAATGTTTAACACCGGTCATTACTTGGGATGGTATGTTTAACAATTTGTGTTTTTTAGACCTTAGAAAGTCAGATGATGTAATTATGACACGAGTTAAGAACGAACATAATATATTTTACTCAGAAATAGTGCAAGTTTATTATATAATTATAATTTTAAGAAGAAAGAACGGATTTACAACTTTCATCATGACTTAAATTGTAGGGGAGCATCAGAGGATTAGATTTCTATTTTGCATCTCATTCCCTAGCCATTGTCCATGTCAGCTTCGTAGAATTGAACAACAGAACCAGTTGTGAGTTTTTGAATTTTAGCCAATTTTTTTACAGTAGCCAATTTTTTTACAGTAGCCATAACCCTTTGAGCCTTAGCCACTGGTACACCGGTGGCGCATAAAATTGCCCTTATGCCTAGCCACCGGTACAACGGTAAGCTAGACCCTATCCCAGACCTGGCCCGTCTGGGACAAAACATGCACGGCAAACCATGTTCACTTCACAGGATGTTACTGATTATTTTAAAAATCTTTCTTCATTAGATGTTAGTACTGATGAGGGCTACCATTAGTGGGATATGGAATGTGATTCTGACGATCATATGAATGTTAATGTAATATATTGCTCAGGAGCTTGGATAGAGGGGCACGGTAGCCTCAGGAGGTCAGGGCTCAAATGGTTAATTTCTTCATTTTCATAGTGTTGACCTCTCAATGCTTCTTTCGTAGGACCAAGAGGTGGAAGTCTGTAGATGCCAAATCAGGAAAATAAACTGGGTATGGTAGTGTTCTCCGTTTAAATGAGATGATTGTCTTCCTTGCTCTGGCACTATGCGGGCGGGTATTGTCATGGTGAAAAAGCACTCTTTCCCGTAAATTTGAACGGACTCTCTGAATGAAACCTGCTTTCAGTCAAAACTTTCCCTTTCAAGATGTTTAATATTACTTTGTGAAAGAATGTGATGTTTGTCAATATAGTTGAACTAAGGACCCCCTGTCCAAGGCAATCACCTTTACAAATGATGACCAATCTCTCTTTGCAGGTGAATGACTGCTTGCCTCTGCTGGGCTTCTTAGACAGTGATGACAAAGGGGATATATGGCGATTTTGGAAGACAGTGTCATCGGCTGTGAAAATTGCTGTCAATGGAAAGGGTGATATAGTGGAGACGCCCAGGAAGACCTCAAAGGCATTGAGGAACTCTGCTGAAAAGAAAAGGGGAGACCAGTTCCTCAAACGGCTTGATAGGGATGCTATCACAATATATGTCCCGGTTAGATGTTTAGAAGTCGGACATCGGAAGTATCGGGTTTTGAAGCTAGCCAATCAGAAAAAGATTGCTGACTATTTTGAGACTGTAGCAGTGGATGGAGAGGAGAATAGTGGTGGTGCCGGTAGTTTGGTGAATGATGCTAGTCTGGAGTATTTTGATTTTGCTGACTTGAGCAACAGTTTTCAGGGAAATGTTGGTAAGGAAGAAATTGTTGAACCAATTGTTATTAACAAAGAAGATTTAAGCATAGGAGAGCAAAATGTTGAAACAGTCACTATGATCAGTCAGGAACAAAATTCAACATTCTCTTTTGAAGAACCTGTCAGGGAAAATGGCGAGCAAGTTAGAAATCCTCCACAACGATCCAGGAAGATGGCGTGGCCTGTGGGTCGCCCAGTGACACGGTCAAGAAGTAGTAAAAGCATGGAATGTACTGTGGTGAGCGCAGAAGACATTGACAGAGCTATCAGTGTCAAGAGTGAGGATAGACCTGAAGATTCTGTTAGAGAATTTAGTGATCACCAAGGTAAAGAGTTTGGAGTGGACTCCGGCTCTCTTTTCCCCCCTCATCCGGTGAAAGAGGAGGCATGTGGGCGTGAGCAGGAAAATTTCAGCATCACGCTGGTTCCGGTGGATGGTAATGTTATGCAGATCACAAATGTGAGGGATACAATGGACATTCTGAAGACCCAGAACAACGGACTTGTTGCTTCTGACTTGAACAAGAGTGCTCTGACTTGTTCTTCAAGTTCTGTGGTTGAAAAACTCAGTAATGTGTCAGTATCAGAGTCTCACACCATGTTAGCTGAAACTGTATTGGAGGAAAAGAATTCTGATCTGAATGTGTCAAACAGTTTGTTGCCGGCTTGCAAAGTGACAGTGTCTTCTGGTGACAATAAGTTTGGTGTTCCGAGTCAAAACCAGCCTGTAGGGATGGAAACCAATGCTGCTGGGGTTGTTGACGTTAGTGCTGAATGCAGGGAGCAACCTGAAGCTCAGGGTGGCCCTCTGGCTCAGCGAAATGCTTCTGACATAGAGACGATCATATCGGCTCTTGAAGAGGAGCTAAAAAAGAGTGGCACTGAAGAAGCAAAGATTTCTACTGAGGAGGAAATGACTCAGTCCGCAGCAGAAGAGATTGCCAGCACCAAGTCCAGCTATTTTACGTCATGCCCACAGACTGTCCAATTACTGAACGGACAACAGATTGTGGAAGTTCAACATGTGGATAATGTGATCTGGACATCAGATGGAGAGGTTCAGATTTTAGGACCTAATCAAGTGGTCAGTACAAGTGAGGTGGCTATTTCAGGGGGTCACCCTCTGGATGCAGGGTACGATGTGGTGGAGTATGAAGTGGCTGGGGATAAAAAGTCGAAAAGAGGACGAAAAAAAAGGGCGAAAAACTCCAAAGAGTACTTAAAAGAGGATACGATTGACCGTACTTGTCCCATTTGTCAGCGGGTTCTCCACTATGCATCTTCCATGGCAGGTGAGACGAACTTTTCATTTTTGTATATTTTGTAGTTATTGTTGTATATATAATTTCTTCATCTTAAGCTGGCGGTTAGGAGGTACTCTGTGGTCTTCTCTGTCCGCTTCTTTTCCATTACTATTCTGCCATAAGCTGACAAAATGCCTTTTTTATTGTTCACAGCAGTTTTGATATAAAGAGGATTTTAGTCAGCGTAATTTAAAAATAGCGTTCTTCCAGAATTGGAATTCTAATTTATTTAAAAAACTAGTCAGTTTCGCTTTGATTTTTTCACGCAAGTAGGGTAACTGATCAGAAATTTGATTTTGCAAATAAAAAAATTGATGCCTGAAAATGAAAAAAGGTATTTTATCTGCTTACGGCAGTATTGTCTTGTAACATTTTGAATCAGTAACTTGACTCTATCCTAATATAAGTGAAGTTTTACATTTTTAAGGTAGTAACTCTTCATTTCATCTTTTACTATTCTGCTCATTTTCATCTTCTGCTTCCTCTGCCACCAACACTTTTGTGACACACAGAGGGAACTGTCAGTTCAGGTCACTTTAAATCTCTCACAGCGTTTCTTGTAGCTCATCACAGCTTGATAAAACGATCTGGGTGTTTTTTTCTTCAGTTGAGAGAATTGGTTTCCTCAGCTTCAGCAAAAACAATGACTTCTTGAATTCAACACTTTCTATTTTCCCAACTGGTCTTTTCCTAGCCCTTTGAGCATCATCAGTATGACAGAAAGATCTTGTTATTTTTTACAGACTTGACATGCATCTTTTACTGATAAGAGCAGACTTATGGTAATGATGGTTTGAAATGTGTGAAGCTATTTTGAAGGCAATGTGTTTTAAGTTTCAAGTGTGGTTTGTTCTTTGTCGAGTTGATTGAGCGTTCAATGTGGCTTGGCTAAAGCTTGAATATTATATAATTTTTATGCAGTTCAGTTCATATACATGAGTTTTTAAAACTAAGGTTTCATTGGAACTAAGGTTTCTTTGGTTGATGTGGAAACACCACTCAATATAAAATTTGTAATTAAAAGATATTGATCCAGTATTATGCTCATTTTTGTGTTTGATTGAATTGTTTGTCATGCAACTCTCTCTGCATTTCAGTTTATTACAAGGCATACAAGTTACAAAAGCATTTCACTAAAACTAATTAGTGGTGTCTGTGTTAGTTTGATATGAGTGAACACGTGCACACACAGGACCCATGAGTTTCTTATTTTGACATCCTATTTTCATATATTCCCCTATCAGCCCATATGAGAACACACACAGGGGTCAAGCCATACAGCTGTGGGCAGTGTGATCGCAAGTTCACCACAAAGGCAAACCGAGATCGGCATGAGGCAACCCACGTTGGCTTGAAGCCTTTCCAGTGCTCTGCATGTAGCAAGTGCTTCACGGAGAAACGCTCCCTCAGTGTACACATGCGAACCCACACAGGAGAACGACCCTTTGTGTAAGTATCTTTTTCTGGAAGGTTTCAGTTTTATGTCTCTTTCAAGATAATCTTGGTTAATTATGAGCTTGGACCTCTGAATCAATTTTAGCCACCAATAATTCAGAGTGAAGAGGCTTAGTCCCAGAGGGATGATGTGGCTTAAAAATGATGAGCCGAATTGGGAACTGCCGCACTGTGGATGTGAATTATTTGCCGATGCCATATAGTTGGAAATCAAAATAAAGGCAAAGGAATAGGCTTTAAAATTATAGGCCTACCAGTAACTTCATATGCCCCAAAATTGACATGCCTGATTCCACTGCGACATGACACATCCCTTCCTTTAAAAAAGTAGTCATAGAATGGTGACACACATGATGCGGTCATCATCTCATTTCTGAAAAGCTTTTCTATTAAATATCACTTTATGGTAGAGCTGGATCCTGCTCGCCAAATTTGAGAGTGGCGATTCACGATTCAGTTGGCTTCAAAGAATCGCGAGTAAGCAAGCGCTCGCGGAACACTAAGTCTCGGGGCTTGTTGTATTCGTGAAACGGAACAGCATCATATCAACGCTACTTCGCGAGTTCCACTCTTGTTGCACCGCCATCGAGACGTCTCGTCCGCCATCCCCCCCCCCCCCCCCGCTCCCTTTCGTTGCGCCCAACACCTGGTTGCGCCCCTCTACTGACCTCAATTAGTGACCCCATAAATCACCCCATATGCTCACCATGATTCGCTAAAACAATTGCTCCATAAAATTCCTTCTGTTTATTGGTTGGAACCCGTTCATTTTGTTTTAATAGGGAGGTTGGATTATGCCATCTTTTGTAAAATAAGGGGAGCAGTGCTAAGTGTTCCGTTCCATGTTCTGTTCTTGGGCTTGCGACATACGAGCAGCACTAGGCCTATAGATCAGGTAGAGCTACAAACAAGCCGCATGGTGGTGACAACGACAGGGGAATGAATCGGGAATCGGAAGGCGATACTGTTCCGCGTTCCGCTGGAGTGAATCGCGAATCGCGTTTCGCAGGGAAGAGTGGCGATTCAGTTCTGTTCTAGCGCTCGCGGCCCAGCTCTACTTTATGGACCAAAAAAGATTAAAGTTTGTTGTAGCAAGGTCAAGACCATGTTGAGAATGTGGCAATATCTTCCAGCCCTGCCTATGGGTACAGCTTTTAAGTCAGATTGGCTGTGAGGAACACCATTGTGGTATTATAGAATAATGGCCTTACTTGGACCTCCAAACCTCCAGGCTTCTTTCAGTGCTCAGCTTCTTGCTGCAAGATGTCCTCCTAATTCTGTTTCATGATGTGAATGCAGCATTGTGTAACGTACCGGTGAACATACACTTAGCTGATTGCTCATCTGTCTGAGTAACTCCGTCAAGTAATTTATCCTTTTTTCTGAAGCAAGATGTAGATATATTAAGCAGTTCATTACACTCTGATTAGTGCTTTTATTCCTCCTACTTTTTTAACATCATATTAAAGAAAAAATCTGTGGTGCTTTCCTGACTTAAGTTTGGCAATAGTGCTATTGATATCTCTATCTTTTTTTATGCTTTTCAAATCTTTCCAGATGCCAGGTGTGTGGCAGAGCTTTCACCCAGAAATGCACACTCACCGCACACATGGACAGACACACAAACAAGAAGGGTCACCTGTGTGACCTGTGTGGCAAGGCCTTCCGACAGAAATGTCAGTTGGACATACATGTCAAGAGGCACAAACGTCAGGCCAGCTTCCCATGCACCGAATGCTCTGTTAAATGCTACACTAAAGGTGAGAACTGGAAAGCTGTGTATGGGTAAGAAGGAAACACTGCTGTGTTATTTTTTTGTTTGTTGAGTCTCTAATGTTAAACTGATGATTTATACTCTTCTATCCCTTATGACTAGGGCTGGGCAATGAGTCGCTTTAGCAAAATCGGGGTACGATGTTAGTGCACATCTTCGGCAAATAATGTTATGAACCGCTTTGGCAAATGGGTTAGAAGTGCTTCCGCAAACGGGTTAGTATCACTTCAGCAGATGGGTGCACCCACTTCGCCAAAGGGGTCAGGAAAGAGAGGTGACGAGTCTGAATTCTGATAATGTTTTATTGATAATTATCTGGTCATTCAGATAGGTGTCCAGATTTTGCCCACCTCTACATATGACCCATGTCTCACAGGACTGCATGGGTAACCCCTTTGTCAAGTTTATTCTTTCGTATTTTTCCTCTCAGTCCTCAGCCTTATGGGACCTATGGCAGAGCGGCCTGGTATGCTCTAAAATACCCTCTGTCTCAGACGTGTAATTCCGTGTATGCATATCACTCTTACCCATATCATATATTCTGGGCAGAATGAGGAAAAAACTTCCATAATCTTTCAGTTGTTACAGTAGTCTCCGCCTAAACGCACAGTGCTTGGGAGGGTTTCTTAGCGTGTGTTTATACGGAGCATGTGTTTACATAAACCTCTGCAAAGGGAGGAAGGGATGCAGTCATCTCATTGCCTTGATATTCTAGTGACTTCCCTTTGGGGTGGGGGTCACTTTGGGCCCATAATGTGACGACACGTGATTGTTTTGTGAAGGATTCCCCGACTGCGGTTAAGTACTGCAAAGGCGTTGAATGGGTGTGTGTGTGTGGGGGGGGGGGGAGGGCAGAAGACAGACTCGATGTAATGAATGCTCCATAAAATATTGGGAACCAATAGCTTTCCAAGCGACCACCCCCGACCATAAATTCATGAACGAGCATTCACACGTGTTGCGCATCTTAGGCTTAGGTCTAACTAAACATTAGCCAACATGCAGTCAGTCAAACACCAGTCAGAAACCTTCTCTCAAAGAGATGCATTTCCAGTGACCAATCAAATAACGTTTGAGTCCCCCAACCCCCCAACATTTCACTGACCAGTCCTAGACCTGTGTGTCTGTGGAAAGTTGGGTGTGAAAACGTTGTCCATCACTCTCTTTGTTCGGCGAAAGGGGCAGTCTCACCAAATATCCGGTTTTCTAGGCTAGTCTTATGCTAGCTGTGCAGATCGTACAATTAGTCGTAGTGAAAATTTTCCTTTGCCTAGTCAAGCTTTACCTGTCATCGTGTTTAGCAGATCGAAGCGTGCGTTTAAAGGGAGTGACCGTGCGTTTGTACGTCTAAATTATATAGTAAAAAACCCGTCAGATGACGAAAGCGTGTGTTTGAGCGGAGCATGCTTTTGGATGGCGTGCGTTTAGGCGGAGACTACTGTACTTGGATGTTGTGTCATTTCTGCTGGATGTTGGGAAAAACGGGGTGTTAGGCAGAATATGGAGAACAACCCATGATCCTCAGTGTATAAGTTGTAATTACCAAGTCCCCAAGTGCCTTTCTACTTCATAATCAAATTTCAGATCTCCATAAGTGCATAGTAATGTGGCCAGCATGTCTCCAGGAGTGATATTGAGGAAATAAATTGTGTTTGTCCCACCAAACACAGGCTTATATGTCTTGACATGTGAATATGGTCAAAATACATAATAATTGTCTTCCTTTTATGTGGGAAAGCCTTTAAAGACCTGAACAATATAATTATGTAATTCACTTCCTATGGTGTGGGGCTGGTTTTAAATCCTGAACAATAAAGCTATCTCTTGACAGCGATTTCTTATGTTGACGTTTGTCAGTGTCTCTTAGCTAAAATTCTAATGTTAGAATTATAAACCAATTTTGTCTTGTCAGAGTAGGATCTTGGGGAAAGGGGAGGGGGGGGGGTTAACTTTTATGCAGGACAGACTTTAGCTTCTTAGGCCTGATCCAAGGCAACAATGAAGTTGATAGGGTCTTGGGAGGAGAACCCCACAGGCTTGATGATGATCCCAAATTTCCCGAACTGCCCAGGATTTAGTAATTGGGAATTTGAAAGGACATCATTTTGAGGGCTCAAATTCATCACATGGTACTCTACTCAAAAACCAGTCCCACTTTATGAAATTTTGTTTCTTGTTACATAATCATAATCTGATGTTATGATGTCGGTGTCCCTGACAGGGTTTTGAAAAAGTTGACAAGTATGACACCAGGTTGTGGATAGTATGAACTTTTTTGCACCCATGTGTTACTCTTTTGAGACACTGTCCTGATAAGCTTTACAGTAAGGCTTGTTTGGGTAGCGCTCCGTCGGCCTGCTGCATCTACAGAGATCCTCTGTCAGTTTTAGAGCAAATTTCTTATGTGTATCTCAAAGCCGGTGAAGCTGATTGTAGAGGGAGACTTTTAATGTATGATGTTACTGAGTATATCATTTTGTCAACAACGTCTGTAAGAAATATTAAACATAAAGCGACTACAAACATCATCCATACTGTGTATTAAAGACAGAACCTCTCAAAATGAGAACTGGCTTGCTCCTGGGTTGCATTTATTAAGAATTGACTTCTGAATCTTTTATTCTGAGTTACTCATTTCTCAAAGGGTTTATTTTGAAGTTGAACCATTGGTTTGTTTTTGAAGCATGCTCTTCATTGCTTTCGAAAACATTTCATAGTAAATAAAAGAGAAAAAATGTTGGAAATATAATTGAAATAATTGTCAATAATTGTTGGAAGGACAACTCTAAATATTTTGTTCCAAAAAATAATCAAGTAAAAGTATTTGCTTCTTGTGCCTTACATTGCAAAGTCATGTTCATGGATGTGTTACAGTCGCGCCTCACTTTTATGACTTACTTCCTCACAGGAGACCTTTTAAGGCACATGATCAAGCACACAGGCGAGCGCCCTTTCCAGTGTAGCGAGTGTCCGCGGGCGTTCACCAGGAAGCAGTACCTTATAGATCACGAAAACGCTCACTTCGGCCGCAAGCCGTACCAGTGTAGTGTCTGTGGTATGACCTTCCATGATGTGGGGTCCTGCCATCGACATCTGAAGAAACATAAGGTCAGTGTTTATGCTTTTTGAGTGTCAGGATGGTTGAGATTGTTTATAAAGAACTGAAAGGGGTCTTGTTTTGTTTTATTTTTGTTGTTTTTTTAGAGGGGGATTATTGTTGTTTTTTTTGGTTGGGTTTTTTAAGGGGTGGGATGGGTGGGTTTGGAAGCTGAGGGAGAGAGGGAAGTGATTATTGTTGCTAGTGCTTCCATGGAAAAGATAGTTGATTACTATTAAAATTTAGAATTTTCTCTTTGTTTCTCTTTTTTCTGCACGTCTTCATTGCTTTGGTTTTTAAAAAAATATATGCACTAAATGACCCATATCTCGTCATTTATTTGTTTTGTTTTTCTCTTTGTCTTTTCTGCCTGTCTTCATTGTATTCTTAAGAAATATATATACTATGTGACCCTTATCTTGTCAATGATTTGTTTTGTGTTCAAAATGTTAAAATTTTCACCTTCTTTCTTTTATTTTTGCTTTCTGTCTTCATTGTCTTGGAAAAAGAATAATAAGGTAAAAGTATTTGCCTGTTGTGCTTTACAGTGCAAAGTCATCTTCATGGATGAGTTACAGTTGCACCTCACTTTTATGATTTGTTTTGTTTTCCAGATGGAAGAAGAGAGCAGTTCAGACAAGACTTCCGACCAGTCAGCTGTACTCAGTAGTGGAGACTTCCACCGCATTCTGGAGGGTACCAAAATAGGGCAGGTACTGTCATTTTTTGTTTAGTTTTCAAGTTCTATTTTTAAAAGCAAAATGAGTGTTTTAAAACAAAGAACAAAAACGCTTTTACTGATTTCGATTTTGAAATTGTTTAAAAGTACAAAAAAATCACTTTTGAAAATGAAAAGTACACCCTACTACTTTTTCTTATCCTAGCCTCACTTGTGTTATGTGTTATTATTACGAAGCTGTTGTTATGTGGATTACAACGTACCAACTCCTACTTTTTTTTCCATTTCCTTCTGTTGTTTCTGTTTTGTGTTATCCCTGCACTAAATTGCCTTTATCACCTTGATGTGCTCCTTCTGTCCTTTTACTCAAAGTTATGCCCTCTTTTGGAGGAATAAGTATAAGGAACCCTTCCATCAGAGACAAATAATTAATACTTGAATTTACAGATTTGGTTGTCAAGTTTTTCTTTTTATCTTAAGTCTAGTGACCTTTGTCTTGGTCAGATAGCATTGTGCTTCTTCTCACAGAATACATTGTTGGTGTGTGTTCTGGTGTGGTTCCATCCTTTTTTTTTTCCTTTTTGGTACAGCTGTGTACATTTGTTCCTTGAAAAATGTGTCCATGATCATATGCAGTTGCTATAAACTGGAAAAATAAGAGCTAAAAAGCTGCTTTTCATTGAATTTTCAACTTTCATCTTAATGTGTCTACATTGCATAGTAATCAGGGAATTAGGGAAATATGAAAAGTATTTGTCAGTGTCCAGGATGAGAAGGCGATGATGGTGAATCAGCCAATAGATGGTATCAACAGTATATTTTTAACCTAAGAAACCTCCCCCCCCACCACCCCTACCACCACCACCTATAGAACAAAATGAAACGAAATCCTCAACAATAGGCTCTCTCAACTTCCTCCTCATCCTCCTCTTCTTTAGGTGCTGAAACTGGAAGACGGCTCCAACGCTGTGGTGAAGGCTGTCGTATCGGAGGCGGATGGCAGCACAGTATACCACATCACATGTCTCAACACTTCCTCCTCTGCGCTGTCAACGTCAATGCCTCCAGCAGTGTTGGGTCAGCCACCTCCACAACAACAGCAGCCACAAGTGCTGACCAACACTGAAGATTCGGGTACAGCGGAGTCCTCTGACTTTGTTCACCACAGTGCTGTGAATGAAAATGATGGTGGTTCAGCGCTGGAGGGAAAAAATTGACACTATAAGGCCTGTGTTACCTTGATCTTTTGTGCTAGTGAACAGGTACGGAACAACACTCTGAGTGCTTAATGTTGCTAAAATAGATGAAAAGTTGTTATAAGTTGAAAAAGTTTCAATGCTGTGGCACTTGAAATATGTGTGCGTGCATAGGAAAATCAGTCACATCTGACCATGGGAGATAATTGAGATTTTGATTGCAATGTGTTCTCCACTCATTTCTGAGCATTTTGCAGTTTATTTGAGGACAATACCTTGTTTCGTTCAAACGTTATGGCAAAATGTGTGAACTCGCCCATAAAACTGACATTTTGAGAAAATCGCATTTAAAGTTGAGAATTAAAGAAAAATGGATTTTGTTGAATTCAGAGGTATCTTAAAGCCATTCCTAAACTAATTCAGACCTGACAAGCAAACTGTATAATGTCAACACAGAAAACTGAAGAATTTTACTCACTGCTTGATGTGAAGAGTCCTTGCTATTACTCCGAGGGTGGGGGGGGGGGGTTACTTCCTTACTCCAAGACCGCGGCCGCGTGGTCTCCCACAACCCCGACCCCTTACAGTGGCTTGACTTGGTTTGTGTTGTTTCAAAGCTGGCTGCTCATCTTCAGTGTCCGTGTTGTCAGACTCCATTTCTGAAGGCTGATCAATAGTCTGTGGTAGGGGAGCAACGAGGTCTTTCATACGATCCGCGGCGAAAGGGCGTATCTTCTGGTACAGATACATCTGGCGTTTGGCGTCCAGACCTTTGGTAACAATAACTGGGGGCATGGTGCTGATGCCAGGCTGTCTCTTCACCAAAATCTGTTCCTGCTCTTCAGCGTCTGCATATTCCTTCACTTTCAGGAAACCACTGTTGTCTACTGTGAAATGATGGTATTTTTTTTATGTTCTTCACTTTGTTGAAGTACTGGGCCAGATAGAGTGCTCAATCATATGTCAAAACTTGAGAGGGTCCCTGCTCACTCCCAACAAGTTTTGCCTCGTTCATTTCTGATGAAAAGTTCACCACATTTGTTATATCTTCGAGGCAGTCGACCCGATTCACTTTATACTTTCTTTTGATGAGCCCAAAGCCACCATCTGGGCTGAATTTTGTGTTGCCAGTTAGAAGAAAACTGAGGGTAATTTTCTGGTGTCGCTGTGTCAGACATCTCCACATAAGGTACCAGATCATTGTGCTGTTTTTGTTTTGACCAGCACAATTATCAGCGTGCAGGTAGAGATGGGTTTCTCCGAGCCCATGATTCTCCAGGTAGTCGTGTAGGAGAGATACGACGACATTGGCTCCCTTGCCACAAGAATGTGCCTCGTCAATGAGGTAGTTCACCTGTTTCTTCAGGGCCTCGCAATAATTTATTCCGAAGATTCCGCATTTTCTTGGGGTTTTAAAATAAATTGGTCCTGGCTGAAGCGGATTATGCGGATAATGCACCTGTTGTGCAAAGTCGAAGGACAGGTGGTTTGCTCCTTGAAAAGAGCAGTGACTGTGTGGCCCAAGTTTTACTCCCTCTGGCATTTGAGTCTTTATCCTCTGACAAACTTCAATATAGTTATCTCTTTCCAGCTTCAGTTTCGTTTGGTGTTCTTGAAGCTCTTTCAGAGCAGAAGAAAAGTCCAGCGTCGTGTTGAGGAGCCTGGTCGCTCCCTGTTGACATGTCCTGCAAAGATCACTGGCTGGTGGCATTGTCTTTATAAAAGGAAGTAAGGTCTTCCACAAATGCTGGAATGTGCGGAGCTTGACTGCTTTAACGCTACTTAGTTCGGCTGATGCTTTGTACTCGTCATACACTGCTTTCTTGGTACAGATTGTCGGTAAAAGTTGGATGTTTGTGACCCAGTGGTTGGGTGTCCTGCCAGGCAGATGGATTGCCTGCACTTTTGCATAGTTGACGATCTAGTCTACTACCCTTCTTGTGTCTTGGTAAGAAAGGGCATTAGCTGGCAACTTTTTCTTGTTTTTGTGGGCCCTTGCCTCCACACCTTTAACCTTGTAGTGCTTTAACAGGGCTGTCAGTTTGTGTTGACTGATGCCATGTACGTATCTGAAGAAATCTCTGCAGATTGGATGCCCGAGATGACTGTAGTCGATCCTTTGAGTTTTGCGCTCAGTTTGGGAAGAATGCTTTGAGTTCCTGGTAACATCATCCAGATGAATGCCACAGGCAATCTTTGCCAGCAGTACCATATCTAGCTCATTTCAATCTAGAGCCAAATACTGCAGACGAAACTCCTCTATGTCTGCTACTGAAAATGGAGAGTGGCATGGTGGTCTACCTTTGCACGAACACTGAATGTTTTCTTTGATGAGAGGTGACGTATTTTCCCCTGCTGGTCCAAGGTCTTGAACGGGTATGTCGGGGTTATCCCGATTCAGTGGCACAATCCTCTCTGCCAGGTCTGGGTTGACGGGGACAAAGGCTGATTCATACTCAGTCGCCTCAGATGCCTCGGCACCTAGTTGAAAAAAGTATGTGTACATTTCAACAAAGGCACAACAATTTTAAGAAGCTCAGCATTCATCTGCATAACATACCAATTCAAATGTTTAGTGAAGATTAGGTGTAACAACCTACCAAAGCCATTGTCCATGCTGAGTACAATGCATGGATAGGTCCACTACCACTGGCCTTCATGTGAGAGGATTTACAGCTGAATTTGATTTGCCCTTAATAGGTCGAGAATCTATATTTAATTTCCCTTTTCACAAGCATAGCAAGTGCATTGGGCCTAGATCTAGAATCTAGTAGCGTAGTGATTACTTGGTGTGCATGCAGAAATACTCTTCGTCAAAAATCTAATACTAATAGGTAGGCCTATAGATCCACAACTGGGTGCATAATGTTCAGTTCAGCTAGAATAGTACAAACTTAAACAGTTGATTGGCTTGGCATGGGGCAAAGACTACTATAGAATTAAATAGAGGATAGAGGCCTGCTTTTGACAAAAGCAACAACAGTTTCCACAATCAGAACAACTTGGAAAAGGACTCAAGAAATAGGCCTAGATTTAGATCTAGATCTAGCACTAGATCTAGTTAGAAAAAAAAGGCTTATTCCATTAAACAATCGAAGTATAGACTAGATCTAGATCTATGCAATAGAAATAAATAAACTGTGTACTGTGTATGTAGAATGTCAGGCAGTGGGCTAGATCTAATCTAGATTCTAGATCTAGATCTAGATCTAGATCTAGTGTCTGCTGTGAGATTTTAACCCAAAGTAAAGGAGGGGATGGGACGCTACACTTACCATTTCGTCCACAAAATCGTCCTCTTCACTTCTTGAATCATTTTCTTGACGGTCGTCTGCAGCAAAATATTCGGTCACTAGGCCTGAAAATGCCACTGAATCAGTTTCATTCAGGTTCAAAAGTTTTGCAACTTCGTCGTACGATGCGCTCACGGAGGCTGCCATTTTGAAACTGTTGATTATAAAATGGGAGCTGACGCGACGCGACTATCAGCTGAAAATAGCGGTTTGTTAATTTCTTCACAAGTCTGGGTACACTTTTTCATAAAAATTAGATCATAAATAAACGTTAGTGCAGTTATCTAGCGGAATACATCATTTCACGCAGTTTTGTGTAGCAAAACACACTCAATCTTGTGATAACTTTCACTGTGCGTAGTAGACACTACGTAAGTCTGTAGAAAGGATTCGCAGTAATTTCAGTTCTTTTGAAACCCTGCGCGCTATACATGACCTAGAAGTAGAGAAAACAAGCTTTCTTGTGGTGTGTCAAAGTACTAGGTTTAAAGTGTGTAGCTGCGAACCAAAGAGGTGCGAAAAGGCGTCGGGAATGGAAGCGTGTAGCGCATCTCTTCCTCCTGGCTCGGGGTTTTCATGAGCGTAATTAATCGACGGGTGTGTCTCACAAATGGCGATTTAATACATTTCTAATGTTTTATCTGTTATAAAACAAACAGAAATCGAACGGCAATTGGACCAAGCATCTGATTTTGTAAACATCACATAATCCCTAAAATAGCCCAATTTTATGTTTTGAAGGCTCTAACTCGTTTAGGGCCTTTGCGAGATCCGACTGATTTTCCTCTGCGCGCACACATATATTGATACTTTCAGTTACCGCCAAGGACATTATTGAATCCAATTTTAATTTTTACACGCTGCATTTGTTTTCATCTATACAAAGTTGAATCTTAAATCTGTACTTCCAAGTGGACAGTGAGGAGAGTTGGATAGCTGTATCATTGTCTGCTGCTGTTGTGTGTAGTTTTCCTGCAAAACTCTATAGATATTTTTTTTAAATTGTAGTCTTTATATCTACCAACAACCAGTCTCCAACTCTTGTAGAACAATGAAACAACTGAGAGAGATGTGCTCACTCTTCTTCAGGACATTAACTCACAATCTCCGGTGAGCAGCTGTGGCACATTCCTTTATAACGGCTTCGATGTCAACTTACTTTTCGGCAAATCTGTTACCGGGAGCTCATTCATTAAATGAAGAACTATTGAAATAGGTTCACTTGTTAAAATTTAATGACCAATTTAGTGATATATATCTTAATTTTGGATTTCATACCAAAAGAGGGCCCTGGCATAGTGGGCTTATCAGAACTCTTGCAACTAAAGTAAAATAATGATTCATGTGCTGCTGATAAAGACTGTTCGACTTTATTGGTGGATTTAAAATAAAGGAGTGTGAATTCTTCTCATTTGTTAATTAATTCTGCTTGAGATTGATATATATGAAGACTGTGAGGGGAAAATGGCAGTAGTCGCAGAAAAATCACTGACGACTGCTTTGTGCGTTTCTTGGGGTAATATGGACTATTGTCCATATTTCCTGCACCAATGTTTTAACTCCCTAAGCCCTGGTCCTAAGCATAGACGGGATATCAGCTTGGTTCTGATCCCGAACATGGACGGGACTGGGATTTGTTCTGTTTTTCAAGATGACGATCTAATAATGAAATATAATTTTTATGTAAAGTTGAGTTAAATCATATTTCTAACCGGAAATGAAGAACTCTAAAATACGGAAGCACTTTTGATATAAAACTACTTTCACTTTGGTGACCTACTTGAGGCCCTTCGTCTTCTTTACTCAGCTTATTATTATGAAAACGTTTTAGATCTAGAGGTCTCTGAGAACTTTAAAAGGCTGTATATCATATTTATCATAACATTTAAGATCTTGCCCTAATATTTTTGTGTTACAATATTCTTTTTCGTGTTATTTTCTGCCACATTTAGTGAGCAGAATTGTTTTCCAGAATTGGAAATAGTGGGGTATTAAGTTTATGGAAAGGAAAGTTTAACAAGTACTACAAACAGGAGAAATATGTGAAGCGTGCTGACAAAATGAATTACTTCTGGGATTCAAACCTTAAGGAAATAAATACATCTCGCTTACAGGTGAAATTTTTTACCATTTATAAGTATGAAATAATAAAATTTATGTTATAGTTAAAGAACATGGCATTAATAGAAAGTCTACAAATTTGACCCTAATGTTGATTTTTGGCCAATATATCCATTTG